GCTCAGACCGAGCATTTTGATTGGACGAACATTTCTTGATCCTACGCCTTCCACAGAATATATAAATACAGACAAATACATTTAGACCACTTAACTTAATGCTCGCTATCGGGATGTGAAGAGACTTTCAACAAGCATAACAAAATGTTTTTCTGAAGACAATCACCTATTGCACCTTTAAGCATATTAGCAGCAGCATTTAGCATCTGTGTTTATACAGCTGGAGCAAAACACAGTTTAGAGCAAATGTAATCGCTCTGAGGACACGCTGATAGTAACGGACATGAAACAGGTTAAATGAAATAAGCATTCTTGTATATGCATTTCAACGGGGGTTCGCCATATACATCGGCGATTATCCCAGTGTTCACGTTCGTTATTTCTAAGGTCAATGTTTTCATTGTGATGAGTGTGTGGTTTATTTCAGCTGCACGCAGCGTCAGAAGCACACGCTTATCGCAGTCATATCAGTGACGGTGTTGCGGAGACGCTGAAGATCACTATCTACGGCTGTAACAGTTAGTTCCGAGTGAAATGCATTATGGGTAGTGTAGTTCGGAGAAATGTGCTCGTGCGACGTGTGCTGGTCGGGTCGGTAGCCCAGGCACACACAGAGAGTAATGCATGCAGTTCACATGGCTCTTCGGAGCAGCAGCAGTACATATGTCTTGGCGAAAGATCTGCTTGTTGGGGGTGTTTTGTCTTGTTTTGGCTTGTATTGTACCTTCTATGTCTCCTGCTTTGTGGGGGGTTATTTCATGTATGTTATATTTGCAGCAGCAATATTTCTTACATGCTCACAGCAGCATGTCGTGGATGTCTTGGCAGTAGCAAGTGCCGCAGCAGTGTAGCAGATCTATTCCGCCAAGACCAAATACATTAACATTGTCATGTACATTACCATGCCAATCCCTCCCAGAGTTGTCATAACAGATACTTTATATATATATATAGTTAAACGTTTCAACATTTACAAAGATATTTTGTGGATTTTTGAATAAACATGAATGCAGATTTGCAGAATATCACACACACACAAACACTCACACAGACACACACAAACACACACACACACACACACTGACACACACAGACACACACACACACACACTCACACACACACACCAA